CCAGGCAACCTTTTATCAACAGTTATGGCAGATGGTGGGGAAGAGTTTGACTGATATGGCTTTGTCGTTCTTCTCCACCGGCTCCCTGCCAGCTTCAGTTCTGGAGTCTACTCTTGTGCTTATTCCTAAAGTGGAAACGCCGGAGTCGGTGATGCAGCTCCGGCCCATCTCCCTGAACAACGTCAGTCTGAAGGCTATTACGAAGGCCATGACTAACCGGCTGAAGCCGGTTATGAGAAAGTTGATCTCCTCAAGACAAAGCAGTTTCATTCCTGGAAGACAGACTACGGACAACATTATTGCAGTTCAGGAAATTCTGCACTCTTTCAGGAAGAAGAAGGGGAGGAAAGGAGGGATGATCTTCAAGATTGATCTGGAAAAGGCTTATGACAGACTCAGGTGGGATTTTCTTAGGGACACGCTGATGGAGATAGGGCTGCCAAGTTCATGGATCAACTGTATTATGTACTGTGCGGAGCAGAACCGGATGAGGGTACTCTGGAATGGCTCTCTTTCTCAACCGATCACCCCAACTCGGGGAGTCCGTCAGGGAGACCCTCTTTCCCCTTATCTCTTTGTATTGTGTATGGAGCGTCTTTCGCATTTGATAGATAGAGCTGTGTTGGATAAACAGTGGAAAACGTTGAAACTTAATCAGAACGGCCCGCCCCTCACGCACCTCTTTTTTGCAGATGATCTTCTACTATTTGCTGAAGCCGAGTCGAGGCAGATCAGGACCATCAAGGCCTGCCTGGATGATTTTTGCTTTAGCTCGGGGCAGAGGATCAACTACAACAAGTCGATGGTGCACATTTCTCCGAACATTCCCAGGTCCAAGGCGATGGCTCTGAGCCAAAGAGCTGATATTCCTCTCAAGGCGGACTTAGGAAAATACCTCGACATTGAGGCCATACACGGGCGGGTCACGAAGTCAAGGTATCAAGGTTTGGTGCTGCGTATCCAGAAAAAGTTGGCTCCCTGGAAAACTAGAAGGCTTTCGCTGGCTGCCCGCCTCACTGTTGCAGGTTCGGTAACTTCCTCCATACCTGTTTATCACATGAATACTGAGATGATTCCGAGTGCAGTGTGCAAAAGCATAGACAAGATCAATAGGGATTTCATCTGGGGCGAGGAGGAGAATCAACCTAAGATGCACTTGGTGGCCTGGGACAAGATGACTTCTCCAAGGACTCAAGGAGGAGCTGGTCTTCGCTCCCTCAGACAAGCGAATATGGCAATGCTGGCAAA